CCTAAGCAATATAAATATCATAACTCTTAAGTAATAGCCCAAAATTCTGATCACCGAACCATGCGACTGAAATCCATCTTCGCGATCAGAATCAGCATGTACTTAATAGAGTTAGACAATGGACTTTACCTGAAGTAGAGCCAAACTTATTGACTTTAACATCCTTAGGTAAATTTGGCAGCTTCGTAACCAATGCCCCTTCCTTTGGTAATAGTTACCTATGGACCCTTGATAATGGGACTATCTCAGACTTCACCTCTCTCTTTACCATTGGGTCAACCGAGTTGACTATGGCCGATCCCTTTCCATTGGGAAGAGAGAGCTTTACTGGATATCCAATGTCATCATTGTCAATGTCCATAGCGTTTTAGGAAGTTGATCTTAGCGAATATATAAGATCATTAAGGGTCTTGTCTTAGTCTGTTTCATAGGATTCCCAAAAGAACTCACTATGTAACTTAGAAAGTAGTTGAGCCACCAACTTTCTCAAGACTTTGACACCCAACTCTCCCGGCTTGTCAATATGTGACTACATCTCCAAGATGTGATCACACCTAGACCTTGCCTTGCCAATAGGCTTGAGTGACCTTAAACTTTTTAGGAACTTGTGGGTTAGGGAGAATAATTGGAGGAGGTGAAAGAAGTATGATATCCATGGGACATCATCTTCATTTAGGAAAGCTTGTTTCAAGAGATTTGGGAAGATCATAAATGTCTAGACCAGACATCTTTTTGGGAGATATTCAAGATAGTTGATTTAAAGTCCTTAATATGACACCCAATATGAAATATTAAGGCTAGGACCCAACAAACTATTTTATAACTTAGAAGAGGGATGCCGTAATCCAAGCTATAAAATATTTGAAGGTAGGTGAATGACGATTCACCAATTTCCACCATGAAAAACGAAATAATTTATTAGGTTTTAATTGGATTTGAAAGTCCTAGATCTTTGAGATTCATTGAACTGTTCAAATGCATGTTTCAATCTCGAGTGTGCCCTTCAGGTTTTGTGACTGGGATGCCGAGGATCACAAAACAAGGTGTGAATAACCATGCAAATATACTTGGTACCCTTAATATTTACCCCTTAATCAGTGTGCCGGTTAACCACACACGCTCCACCGATACTATGATAAATATTAAGTTACCCTTTGCCTACCTTGTTAAGTCCAGGTTAGTGTGCCGGTTAACCACACACGCTCCACTAACGACTTAAGCAAAGTGCAAAGTGTAATTTCATGGGTTAGCACCAAATTCACATTTTCCTAAGTAACTAAGATTGGGTATTAATAAGAGTTTAGTTACTTAGTATTTATCATTAATACTTTTAATGAAAGGAGAATTATAGTCCTTGTCCTACCCGTTCGGCTAACGACCCTCCACCAGTCAAGGAAGCGGTGGGTGAGAGTGGACACCCATTAAACTGCCATTTTATAGGCAGTAACCTTATACCCCCCTTATAGACCGGCTTCGTGAATGAGGCCTACTAATGGTAAGACTGACTTTACTCTTATACATATATATAAATATTATTAACTTATAATATTATAAAGTATAAGGGTTGAATTTTAACTTTTAAAATTCTAAGGGCTAACTTGGAATTAAAGTATTCATAAGTGAAAAATTTTCAAATTCCAAAACTTGAGGGCAAGTTTTGAAACAATTCAAAACTAATTAATTCCATAACTTATGAGTTTAAAGTAATTTTAATTAAAAAAAAAAACTCTTCAAGTTCCATAACTTGAGGACAAGTTATGGAAGACTTTAAACTAATTAATAAAAAAAATAACTTTTTTTTTTATTGTAACTTATGGAACTAATTAAGGTTACATTTTTTTTTTAATTTAATGAAGAGACTCTTGAACCTCCATAACTTGAGGACAAGTTATGGAGTCATAAAACCATTTAATTAGAACTAGACTCTTCATTTTGTAACCTTTGCCAACTTTTATGAGTTTTATGATTCTTAAATGTGACTTTTCATATAACTTGAGGACAAGTTACAAAAACACACTTTGGAATCAACTCTTAGATTAAAATGGATTGAAAACAACTATTTCACACAACTTTTCTATTAATCTAAGAACCTCATAAGAACAAGATAATTCAAATCATCAATCTTCAAGAAATTAGCATGAACATACAAACTAATACAAATCTTGAAATTATGACAATTATCTTAAAAATTGGATTAGCATGAACATTACCACATCAAAAACAAGTTTATAAGTCCAAAAACATCTTAGGGTAATATTCCTAGTCCAATTCCAGCCAAAACAATCGAATATATGCATCCAACTCGATTTTTCAGCTACTTTTGCAAGTATAACAAGAAAACAAGCCTAGGCTCTGATACCACTGTTGGGTTATGAGCATTCTAACACTCCTAAGTGTACATGCAACCCTAAATACCTTGGATCTATGTTTTCTCTATTATACATACAATTATGAACATCCAAAGTATTATCCTAATCTAGCATACAAAATAATAAATATAACAAGATAGAATACATACCTCTTTGATGTAGAATGTCTTCATGAAGCTTGAGTGCCTAGTGCCCCAAGTGTGACACCTCAAATGGTTCACACAACACCAAATACACTTGGAATAACTTGAGAGAAACTTGAACACTCCTTGAAATCGTCTAGCCCTCACACTCACACATTAGTGCACGATTTCTTGAGCCATGGGATTCTTTTATATGGTGGCTATTAGGGTTACACCATGTAACTCATAACTTTACCCATTCCTTATGCTCCATGGATTTTAACCTCCATGGAGTATCCATGGGTCACCCCATGGACTTAGTCCAACATAAGGAATCTTGGATCACAAGCCCACATATATAAGAATGAATGATTTACACAATCAACCCATATATTTAATTAGTCTCCTTTTGATCACTTAATTAATTCCAAATTAATTCTTGATCAATACTAATTAAATAACCTTATTAATATATTAGAACTTATAATATATTAACCAACCTTAAGTGTTATTTCTCTCATTATAGTCTATCCAAATGCATGATGCCATGCAACCCAAATGGACCATGCCGGGTCGGGTCAAGTCTTACCAATTATAGTTATGGACTTAGACATTAATCCAACACAACAATGGTGCCATATTCATCACCTAGTTGAGATAGGATGTGAACAAGTAGGTCTTCTTCTGTGACAGGGCTCTGTGCGAGAGCTAGGTCATCTGCAATTGACCGCATATCTTGGAGGAATTCGGCAATTGAGCGATTGCCCTTTGGGTTTTTGACAAGTTTCAATTTTAGAGATATGACTCTAGATCTAGAGGCACTTGCAAAGCTGGCTGTGAGACGCTCCCAGGCTTCTTTGGATGTTGTGGCAGACGAAATTAAGGGTTGAATTGAGTCAGAACAGCAGCCAAGAATGGCACTGATGATGGTTTGATCTTGGCGATACCAGGTGAGATATTCTGGGTTTGATTTTGATGTAGAGCTGTCTTTGTCGCTTAAGAATTTGCTTGGAGGTGGCTGATCACCGGTAATGAAAGTGTCAAGATCGAGCCCAATTAGGGTGGCTTCAACTTGACGTTTCCAGACAGGAAAATTATTGGAGGTGAGTTTTATATTGGGAAGTGAGTGGCAGCGGTGACTTGAATTGTAGTTTTGGCCATTGCGTGCGAAAGAGAAAGTGAGATGAAGATGAATCGGAGGTGTAGGATCAACTCGTTGGAGCAATTGTAGCTCTGATACCATATAAAGGTATTGTATTGAATGTATATTCTGTTTATTGAAATCAGTATACAGGTGAAGGCTTTATAGCTGTGATACAAACAATTGACCAGGAGCTAAACTAGGAAATAGAATCGGTAAACTATTGACTATATATTTACAGTTGTATTCTAAAATAAATACTATAATTAAATCCTTTTTATTTAATTATCCGTGTGCCTTAGTATTTATATCCAAACTAATCATGATATCTCTTTTACTATTCTTCCTTAATCATGTCAGTTACTAAATCGATCAAATTTATGTTCATTTTCTTCATTGTTAGTAAGAACTTAAAGCATTAAAAGTCGTGACCATTTAATCTAACCCAACTAAATTCTAAATAAAAACTAATAGAATAAAAGATAAAAGAAGAACATGTCATAACTCAATCAAGCTTTTAACAAAATCATTGGATATAGTTTTTCAATTGAAAGACAAAACGTTTGAGTTATATTCGTTAAAAAATATTGATTCTTTATTTTCTTTATAAACTTCAATAATTATTTGCAATAAAAATATATACAATTGATCTTTTTGATTCCATAATTGAACTTAATTGAACTTAATTCAATGATATTCTATTAAAACAATACTAAGAGAAAATAAAATTGGATTTGTTTTGTTTAAAACTATGTCATTTAAAAGGTTCTATACCTAAACTTAGGTACATATAACAGCCACATATTCAGTTTTCTATATATATATATATATATATATATATATATATATATATATATATATATATATATATATATATATATATATATTCGCACATATTTTCAGGGCCCTTATTCACCTTGTACCAGAAAACATTAACTGCATGAGGAAATCTGATTCGCAGATGGACAAGTAGAAAGTAGAAACTTCAGTATCAAGATTTCTTGAAATGGTAGATTTAAAGAACATGTAGGGGCTACGCTTTTATTCGATCTTAAAATGAATACGTAATTAATAACAACACAATCAAGAACTTTCAAAACTCAAAAGAGAATACGAGGATTATGTTTAAGAATTTTTTATCTTCCCCATTAGATTCTAATTCTTTTCAACGAAATAAGTATTATGTTTAAGAATTTTTTATCTTTGGTGTTTAGTTCCATAGTATTTACTTGTATAGTATAAATGATGTATTATTCTTTTTCTTTAGTTCCAACTAGCTAAGCCACATTGGTCTTTAAATGACTCTATTCTTTCATTCCAAAACCTCACACCTTTCATTCTTGAAATACTCATAACAGGAGTTTGAGAATGAACGGAAAGGAGGGCAGTTTTGGAATGAAAATCTCGTCCAATAATGACGTTGAAGGTAAACTGCCAGAAACCAGAAACAAATTAAAAGTTTGGATGTATAAGATATGGGAATTTACTAAAGAAGACATTAACAGAGTTACATTCTCGTTAAAAGTTGGGCTTGCTGTTCTCCTTGTGTCTTTACTCATACTATTCCAAGCACCTTATCAAGTCTTCAGCACCAGCATTATCTGGTCCATCCTCACAGTCGCCATCATGTTTGAATATACTGTTGGTATGTATTAATTATCTGAGGAAATCGTAAAACTTCATGTAAAAATGAAAATATATGTTATATATATTACAACTAAATACAAGATAACTTTTTTGTGCATGCATGACTTGCTTATAAATTGTTGAAGGTGCAACATTTCACAAAGGATTCAACCGTGTGCTCGGAAGCTTGTTTGCTGGAGTGTTAGCCATTGCTGTTGCTGAATTAGCTTTGATGAGTGGCCCAGTTGCTGAACCCATTATTATAGGCATCAGTATATTCATCATAGGTAACTTAATAAACAAAATAACGTATTATATATATATATATATATATATATATATATATATATATATATATATATATATATATATAAAATTAGTTTTATGCATGTTCACAGGGAGTGTAACCTCATTCATGAAGTTATGGCCAACCTTTGTGCCATATGAATATGGATTTCGAGTTATACTATTTACATACTGCTTGATCATAGTTTCGGGGTATCGAACAGGGAATCCAATTAGAACATCGATTGAACGACTTTACTCAATCGCTATTGGTGCAATTATAGCAATAGCAGTGAATACTTTGATTTTCCCTATATGGGCTGGTGAGCAGTTGCACAAGGAACTTGTCAAAAGCTTCAATTCAGTAGCAGATTCACTTGAAGGTAACTTTTATCTTTTAACATCTCTACATCTTATGCTCCTATTCTATGAAGAATTGCTAAAAGCTTAGATTTTGGTTATAACTTCAGAATGTGTTAATAAGTACTTAAGCAATGATGGATCAGATCATTCAGAGTTCACCAATACTCTCATGGACGAATTCCCAGATGAGCCTCAATACAAAAAATGCCGATCTACACTGAACTCATCAGCTAAACTCGAGTCATTGGTGATCTATATTATGCTTTGTTTTTTTATTTTATTTTTGAAATTTTGTTTTTCTCTCCCATGCATGCATGTGATCTTAACAGAGATTATCCTGGTGTTTTGGTGGTGAATAATTAATTAGGCTCTTTCGGCTAAATGGGAGCCACCACATGGCAGGTTCCAGCACTTGTTCTATCCATGGAGTGAATATGTCAAAGTTGGCGCCATCTTACGATATTGTGCATATGAGGTCATGGCACTTCATGGCGTTCTTCACTCAGAAATTCAGGTTCTTTTTGAGTAGTCGACTTTTTGAACCATTTACTTGTCTTCTCTTTCTATTTTTCCTATCTACGCGTAGAAGTTGTAAAAGAGACGGAATAAAGAAGTGTACCTAATTTGTTCTTTTGATTGTTGTTTTATAGGCACCGTATAATTTAAGATCCATATTCGAAACAGAGATATCAGAAGCAACAAACAAGGCTGCAGAGTTGATGAGATGTCTGGGAAAAGATATATGTGACATGAAGCAGACCATTAAATCTACTTTAGTGAGAAGCGTACACAGCTCATCTGAAAGACTCCAAAGAGCAATAGAAACACATGCGTATCTTCTTGCATGTAGTTATCAACTTCCTGATCATAATTCATCAATCTCACTCCCTATTAATGGTTTCTCAAAGTCAAACCAACTGGCTGAGTTTAAAAAAGAGAATGAAGAAGAACGTGAGATGAACTCCCAAAGGATACTCTCAGTCTCATGGGAGAGCACTGCAGCACTGTCACTTGCTACTTTTACTTCACTGTTAATAGAGTTTGTGGCTCGCCTTGATCATTTGGTTGAAGCTGTCCACCACCTTTCCCAGATGGCCAAATTCCAACATGAGAGTTTATGAAGAAGAAAAATACCGGGGTTTTCATGCCCATGATAAAATAAAGTACCATGAAATTAAAAATAAATAAATAAATAAATAAGATGCATCATTAGGAAATCACACAAAAAAAGATAAAATGGCATTTTAGAAGTTATAAAGATGAACCCATCGTACGTAAAAGTTGGGTTTTTGTCCATGGTTGCTACAATCATTTGGCTTGTTATTGGGATATGGGCATCATGATGTTTTTGACAAAATATATTATGAAAAGTTGAAAACAGCGAATAGGAAACAAAAAGAAAAAATGATTTCTTTTGTACCAAAAATAATCAAATAAGCACACACTACAAGAATTAAGAGTATTAGCGGCGATATCAAGACGGACACAATTGTTGTCACCGTTAATACTCAAGTAGCAATCCATGTGTTTTAGTAACCCTAGCCGTTCAATATATAAGTAGATCCAGTGGTTAGGAGACAATCTGGTACAACACCAATGTTAAGGTATGAAGTCTTGTCCAACATGGAACACTTAGAATCAAATGTAGCACTTGGATGGATCACTTAGAATCGATTGGAACACTTGGATGGAACACTTAGAATCAAGTGGAGCACTTGGAGGAACATAGATCACCTGGAGTTGTAATGGAGCACTTGGAGGTGGAATGAAGCATCAGGGATCAATGTGGAGCACTTGGAGTTGGAGTGCAACATCAGGGATGGAGAATAAAGCATCAGTGATGCACCAAGCATCATGATGCACCACCTTGTGCACAAGGTGCGCCATCCATGCACAAGGTGCGCCACCTTGGTGCTTTATGCTCCACTATTACATGCTTTGATGTGTTTTGGGAGTGTTGAAGTGTTGATGATGAACAAAGAAGCAAGGATGAGCTACTCAAGTTAAAGATGTGTCATTCATAAGGATGGTGTTCCATCATGGAGCATGATGTGCCATTTATGAAGAAGGTGCACCACATGGCTCCTGGTACGCCACTTAGGTGCCAGGTTCACTAGGATGCTCAAGATTGTTCAATGTTTCTTAGAAGGATGAAGATGTTCAAGGAGAATGCTCCACATGGTCGATGCGCCATCTTTATGGCAGATGCGCCATGGTGACTCATGATGCGCCATCATGTATTTGGTTGATGCTCATGAGGTTAAAGGTTCTAGAATCATCTGCATGGCACTATGTGATTGGTTGGAAATTAGGGCATCCCCTAAATGGGCGAATTATGGATGGTCTTGGTCTATCAGAATTAGGGTTTTCCATGTTTGCCTATAAATAGGCTCATATCCATTGTAAAATTGCTAGATTTATGTGAGAGCTCAAAATGAGATACAATTTTGAGTGCTTGTAATAGTTCCAGAAAGTTAATAAAATCTTCTTTCTCTCCCTCTCTCTCTCTCTCTCTCTCTCTCTCTCTTTCTCTCTCTCTCTATCTATCTCTCTCTCTCTCTCACATCCATGGACGTACGTCAACTTAACCGAACCACGTTAAATATTGTGTTCTTTTGATTTACGTTTTTTAGAAGTTTTATTTCTGCGAGTTTCACCGAAGCTTGTTTGATATTTTTCTGAAGTACTTAACTTGTTTTGTTGTCACCCAACAAACTGGTATCAGAACTATGGTTTAAGACAAAAGAGTTAATATGGACAAGTTCAATGGAAAAAAAAAATTGGTTTCTGGAAAATGTTAATTGAAGACTACCTCTACCAGAAGAATTTACATGAACCCTTGTCAGAAGATAAATCGTTCCTTATGAGAAAACAATTGTTCATGAGAAAACAATTTATGGGTTTATCTGTAACGTCCGCGTTTCTGGGCTAGGCATTAATATTGATGTAACAGTCTAGGTTAACCCTTGTAACTCATTTTGAAATAATAATAATTTATTATTTGAGTATTATGTGTTTTATGCTTAATTGTGTGGTTTAATTGAATTAAGAATAAAGATAAGCGTAAAAATAAAATGTTAGATAGAACCGATATCGATACATGAAGACGTAGTGCTCGTGACAAGGATTTCGAATATGTAAAGAATGCCGAAATCCGAGTTATAAAGAAGAAGTTATGATTTGTCGAAGTTTCGCGACACAACCGGTACGACACTGTGCTGACGTAAAATATGAATTTAAGATAGAGCGATATCTAGCCTTAGTGATCTAAACGAAAGTCGTAGAATACGTTAAACCGAGAGCGTTCATAAAAAGAATGTCTCAATCTGACTTCGTATGAGGAAGTTATGATTTTTCGAAGTTTCGACTTAGCAGTATGCAGCCCAAAGTTCGAATATGAGATCGAGTGATTTCTAGCTGAAACAATCTAAACGAGAATCAAAGATCTCGTCGATAGTAGTCCAACGGTAAAAAGACAGACGAAAACGGACGTCAGATGAAGGAGTTATGAATTTCTAACGGAGTTTTCCTGTCCCGGCCTACTAAAAATAATATAATAAAAATAAATTCAAAATTAGCCGACGGAGTCTAAACGAAAGTTGTAGAGCATAAGCTCACCTTCGCGTGGATAAAAGAACGTCGAAAACGGAGCTCGTATGCGAAAGTTATGAATTTCTGAAGTTCGAGGCGCGAACCACAAAGCTGTGTCAGGGTTCACGACGTGAAAATAGGGTTCACGACGTGAACTCAGAGCTGACGTCTTCTGGAGCCTGACAGACTGAACATCGCGACTATGCACCTGATGACGTCAAAGGCCACGACGTGAATAAGTGGTTCACGACGTGAAAATCGAAAAATCAACCCTATAAATAGAATCGAAGGGCAGCCGAGTTTTGTTGCTCAATTTATTTCCTCTCACTCCATATTTCCTCGATTTACATGCAAGTAATACCCCCGAAGCCCCGGTATCATCCCGAGACCCGAAGCGAGTCCCGAAGCTCCGAAGATCCCGAGAAGAAAAGAGTTTCCGAGCCGAAGCTCTGCCCGCGAGAAGCCCGGTGTGTGAAGATCTCCCGGTTTCACCAAAGAATACTAATTTAAGAGTCGTAGTGTTGTCCAAGCATCATCTTATCAAGTGAGTGCATAGTCCCTTTCATATACACGATTTTAATACAATTATTTATGAATGTATTAGATATATGATATGAGAAAGTGTGTAGTTGCTTTCTGATAATACACGTATATGAATTATACTCTATGAAATACGTGCTATGTGATTATATACTATTTGTTATGTGGTATGAGTATTGAATGAATATGTTATACAGGTTTTAGCTGTATATAAACAAGTATATTTTATCTACAAATATGTTGGGTAGAACATGGGTAGATAGTGATGTGTGATGAAATAAAAATGATGAGAGGCCTCGATGTGATTGTGATCTAGTCGTCCAGCAGAATATGGATGACGACCACCGATTTTTTTAGACAGTTCAGTGGAACGCTGGCAGGCTCATAACCTGTAGGTGTAGTGAACTTGGGTGTTCATTTGTTGTATTCTATCCCCCTCATGGTTGCCTTAGGACATTCATTGTTGAGGAAACCCCTTTGCAGTATTGTCCGTCCCGATGAAAATCCTAGCTTAGGTCCCTTTTAATAGTTGTTGTCATAGGGACGTAAAGTGAGGATAACGGGAATGGGTAATCGGGTTATTGTTGGTTGGTGAAATTAAATATAATTATTTATAGTGGGTTGAAAACCCTATATGCTCACTAGGCTCCCAAGCCTGACCCACTTAGTTTCTTTGTATTACAGGTAGTGGCGCGAGAGCATATGTTGGAGAACTTGTGAAAATATTTTTGTTTATAGACCAGTAGTTGTATATAACTGTGTAAGGTCTATGTTTTATTGTTTATGCTTTTGTGTCTGTATCGGAACATGACATCCCGAGTTTTGTTATATAATGAAAATACATTTCTTTAAGAAATGCTTTGGTAAATCTTATTTTATCATATTTCGTTTTGGGAACAAATTCCGCAACTCTTTTAAATCAATGGATTTACTCTGAAATTATTTTAAAAGCATAAATGAAACCGGTCTTTTCTGGCCGTCATGTTGGGGATGTCACATTATCAAAGTGCTATTTAACATGTACGAGAAATCTTTAGCAGCGAATAAGGTCCACTTGATTCGACAATTGGTCAATCTGAAGAAGAAGGAATGTGGCTAAGTGATTGATCATGTCAATGAATTTAATTCAATCATGTTAAGGTTGACATCGTTTGAGATTAAATTTGAATATGAATTCTAAGCATTGATAATATTATTATCATTTCATGAAAGTTGGTCGACAACAGTGACAACAGTCAGCAGCTCGGTTGGAGGTGCCAAGCTGACATTCGAAGGCATACACGATTTAATCCTTGGTGAGGATGCGCACATACGAAGTGTTGGAGAATTCTCTAACAATCTTATTAGTACTGAGGAAAGAGGAATGAAGTCCAACAGAGGGAGTGGGGATAGAGGAAGATCAAAGTCGAGTAAGAGAGGTGTAGTGAAGAACAGGAAGGACATTACTTCTTGGAAATTCAAAGAAAAGGGTCAATAATGAATCAATGTTCGAAGCCTCTTGCAGTCAAAGGAAAGAATGAGATGAACATTGCATTAGACTTTGAAGGAGATGCTTTTATCTGTGCAGTTGAAAACTCCATTGAATCCTGGATCATGGATTCTGGTGCGTCATTTCATGCTAGTCACTCCGGTGAAATAATACAAAATTTTAGGCACTACGAAGGGAAGGTCGGACCAGCAGACAACAAGAGCCTTGATATTATAGGTTTTGGGGATGTGGTCCTCAAGACTACTTTGGGTACTAAGTGGACTTTGAACAAGGTCAAGTTCATTCCGGACTTGAAAAGAATGTTGATATCATTAGGGTCACCATGTCACTTTTGGTGATCATCAGTGGAATGTGACAAAGGGAAACTTGGTGGTTTCCAGAGGTCAGAAACATGATACAATTTAGATGGTGGAATTTTCTGATAATAAGGCACATGTTGTTGAAGAAGTTGAGGCATCCATAATATGGCAACAAAGACTTGGGCATATGAGTGAGAAGGGA